AAATGCCATTAAATTTTCAAGGAATTTTAATTCTAACCTTTAAAAAAAAAAAAAGAAAACTTGGAAAGGTTAAGATACTACATCAAATGCTATAATAAAGGATATAAAATTGCAGACATAAAAAAGCCATGCTTTGTTATTTAAAAAATGCTAAGTTGATAATGTGTCATTCAGGCAAATAAAAGATTTTTTCATTAATTATTATTATTCTACCCACTGAAGTTCATTGTCAACTATAATAATTTACAAATTCTTATTCTAAGCCGGCGCCGTGGCTCAATAGGCTAATCCTCCACCTTGCGGCGCCGGCACACCGGGTTCTAGTCCCGGTCGGGGCGCCGGATTCTGTCCCGGTTGCCCCTCTTCCAGGCCAGCTCTCTGCTATGGCCAGGGAGTTCAGTGGAGGATGGCCCAGGTGCTTGGGCCCTGCACCCCATGGGAGACCAGGAAAAGCACCTGGCTCCTGGCTCCTGCCATCGGATCAGCGCGGTGCGCCAGCTGCAGCGGCGGCCATTGGAGGGTGAACCAACGGCAAAAGGAAGACCTTTCTCTCTCTGTCTCTCTCTCTGTCCACTCTGCCTGTCAAAAAAAAAAAAAAAAAAAAAAAATCCTTATTCTGACTTCTATAAAACCTTGACTGACCACAGGTCTTTAACACTACTTCAACAAATATGTTCATCTTTATCCAGTTCTCTGCATTAAGTAGAAAATAAACATAATCTTTCACCCAGAATTGGTCAGGAACAGGCCAACTTCAATAAATTTTCAAGAAAGAAAAGGAGCCCCAAAAAGTGCTACAAATACTCCAAGAGCTCCAATAACTCAGGAGATGAGCAGCTTTTAATGAAATTGTACATTGAAAAGTTCAACAAATACCAAATACAAGTACCAACATTTTCCTGGCTGATGTAGTTTACCAAGACATGAAAGTTCCATGTCCAGTTTGTTCCATTCTGCTCCCAGTACTTCAGTTCAGATCCCAATCGGTCCTTGCCTAAATTACTGCAGCAGTCAACCGGCCCTAACACACACCAGTCATAGCCAAGAACTAGCTAAGGATAAAGGTAAAATTTAACCTTCTACAAGGAACTTTATAAGGCCCTTTTAGATCTAAACTCTTCATGCTTTCCTGGCTTCATCCTTTACCATCAATATGCCCAATCCAGGGCAATGTACAAAACAACAAGAATGCGTATTCTCCCAACACCCATACTAGACTTCAGCCATTCATAGGTATCTGCAGTTCCCCAAAAGCAGCAGCTATGGCAATACCTCTGCACACACTCTTTCCTCTGACTGTTCTTCCCACCTCATCTCCGGTTTTGGTTAACTGTGATGCATTCTGAAGTCTCATTTTTAAACATCACATCTTCTATGATATCTTCTTGTTCAATTCCTTCCCATGTGGCCCATTCTGATGACTCATGTAGCCTCCATATAGCATTTCTAACTCTGAATCACCAATTTTCTAATATGTATCTAACTTTCTGCCTTAATATAAGCTACCTAAGGGTAGAGAGTAGTGTCTCAATCACTACTGTGTCCTTAGCGTTTCGTTCAATGCCTGACCTACAACAGAAACTGAACAGATTTGGTGAGTGAAAAGTGTTTTGTGAAAGGTACTTCATTCAGAGGGACACAGCCATTTAAAAATCTTAAAGAAATAACATACCTGTCTTTCCAACTCTTGTCCTGTTATGCCAGCCTCTACATGAGCTGTCAGGTTGTTCTCATCAACCCAAAGGATTCGATTCTGTTGCAAAGGAAGAAAAAAGTCTGATCTCCAGGAACTTCTGACATTTTCTCAGGAAAGGTTATTTCTTAACTCAAAGCAACAGTGACAAAACAGTACTTAAGCAAGCAGGGTGCCCTCCAAACTCCATCCACATTGGAAACAACCTCAACTTAGGTTTCACTACACAGCATGACAAAGATGGTAGTAAGGCAGTATAGTACCCAAGAATTGATTTAAAACACGGACTTTGTTTGTATTCAGATTTTATATGAATGAAACTCCACAGGGCCGGCGCTGTGGCGCAGCGGGTTAACACCCTGGTCTGAAGCACTGGCATCCTAGGTTTTGTTCCTGGCTGCTCCTCTTCTGATCCCAGTTAGAATGGCTATCATCCAAAAATAAAAAATGCTGGCAAGGATGTAGAGAAAAAGATACTCTAAAAAATATATGGTTAGAAGGCCGGCGCCACGGCTCACTAGGCTAATCCTCCACCTAGCGACGCCGGCACACCGGGTTCTAGTCCCGGTCGGGGCGCCGGATTCTGTCCCGGTTGCCCCTCTTCCAGGCCAGCTCTCTGCTGTGGCCAGGGAGTGCAGTGGAGGATGGCCCAGGTGCTTGGGCCCTGCACCCCATGGAGACCAGGAAAAGCACCTGGCTCCTGGCTCCTGCCATCGGATCAGTGCGGTGCGCCGGCCGCAGCGTGCCGGCCGTGGCGGCCATTGGAGGGTGAACCAACGGCAAAGGAAGACCTTTCCTCTCTGTCTCTCTCTCTCACTGTCCACTCTGCCTGTCAAAAAATAAAAAAAATAAAAAATAAAAAAATATATATATGGTTAGAAGAAATGTAAACTGGTATAACCACTATAGAAGACAACATAGAGGTTCCTCAGAAATTTGAAACAGATCTATCATGTGACCCAGCCATCCCACTTCTGAGCATATACCCAAAGGACATGAAATCAGTATATGAGTTACTTGGACCCCCATGTTTTTAACAGCTTAACTCATAATAGCTAAGATTTAAGAATCAACCTAGATGTCCATTAGCTAGTGACAGGATAATGAAAATGTGATGTGTATATAAATATATACACAATGGCATGCTACTCAGTCATAAAGAATGGAATCCTGTCTTTTCAACAAAATGGATGCAAATGGAAACCATTATGCTTAGTGAAATAAGCCAGAACTGAAGACACATATCACAGGTTTTCTGATTTGTGATAGCTAATATAGAGTATAAAAATCTAATTATTTATAGCCTTTGTCTAAATTTCTGAGTGGTTTTTCTACTTTTCACTTGTTAGACTGTTTAGTGGAACATTAAGCCTGTGAATACAAAGTAAATTAAAAATATGTTATCACAAAAATTATAAAAGGAAGAAAGGAAGGGGGAGGGAGGGAAGTAGGTATCATATTCTTATTATTTTATCCATCAACTACAGGAACTTGGTTCTTTTATATTAAAAATAATTTTAAAAAATTTTTATACATTTGCTCAATGTTAAGATATCTAACTTAGTTTTCACAATACCATCCTGCAGTATTACTGTCTCTGTTTTACACATTCAGTAACAGATTTAAAGGTAAATTTGCACATAGTAAGATAAAGAGCCAGAAATTCATTTACATTCCAAAGTCTATTCCATACAATCCTTCTACTGTCTCCTGAGGAAACTGCCTTTTCTTAAACAATAGAATAGGAGAAAGGTTGAAGAGGAACTTCATCGTAAAGTAATCAGGAAATCATTATGTGAACTTGCTCATCATTTTAGCAATACTAAAACCAGGACAACCAGCTAATCTGTACCACCTCACCTGATGTTATGTGACACTCAAAAAAAAAAAAAAAAAACACCATAATACAGAGCAATGAAATCATTGCACAATACAATGTATACATATATCAAAACATCACACTGTACCCCATAAACAGATACAATCATTGTGTCAATTAAAAACAAAACTTCTAAGAGGAAAAAACAAATCACCAGAGAAGATAGTCTTGCTTAAAAAAAAAAAAAGCTATACATGAATCTAATTAATCTAATTTCTATATACTAGAGGAAGAGTTATATGACACCAAGAAGAGGAAACAAATTCAAAATGTGACATTCTACACTACAAATAACCTAGTTTCTTCAAAAGCCAACAGCATTCAAAAAATAGGGAGGAAGAAGAAGCTTCTAGATAAAGTGAGACTTAAGGGAAATAACCAAAAGCTAACATTAACCTTATCTGGATCCCCATTTGAACAAATGAACAATAAAATAAAGACATTTTTGAGATCAGTGAAAAATTGAACACGGACTGAATATTATGTAATTTCAGGAATTATTTTTGATTTTGCCAGGAGTGATAACATATTAGTTACTTGAGAAAATGTCCTATTTTAAACAGATAGCTGTAAAGTAACAAACTACCAGATTTGCTTTAAAAATACTAGAGAAAGGGGCTGGCACTGTGGTGCAGTAGGTTAACGCCCTGGCCTGAAGCATCCCGTATGGATGCTGGTTAGAGACCCGGCTGCTCCACTTCCAATCCAGCTCTCTGCTGTGGCCTGGGAAAGCAGTAGAAGATGGCCCAAGTGCTTGGGCCCCTGCACCCATGTGGGAGATCTGGAAGAAGCTCCTGGCTTCGGATTGGCACAGCTCCAGCCATTGCAGCCAACTGAGAAGTGAACCATCAGATGGAAGACCTCTCTTCCTCCCTTCCTTTCCCTCCCTCCCTCTCCTCTCTCTCTGTGTAACTCTTTCAAATAAATAAATAAATCTTTAAAAAAATACTAGAGAAAAAAGATTATACAAGTATGACAAATATTAATAACTACTTAAGTCTAAAGAAGAGGTATAGCATTCTCTACTTTGGTGTTTGAAAAATATCAAATAGTCCACACCCTGCAATTGTGTTCCATGACTGTTTTTCACTGCAACATTTTTTTGATGGAAAGTTCTAAGCACACTAGCAACATGCCTTTACTCACCACTTAGATTCTATATTTTACCATTCTTTATCACATACCTGTTCATCAATCTTTATCTTTACTCATATCAAAGTAAGTTGCAGACCTCTATACTTGACTCGTAAGCTTTTCAACATACAAGGGGACTAAAAACGTTTGAGGGAAAATGGAATTAACAGGGAAATTTGTTTTGATGTGAAAAATTTAGAAATCCACAGTTTTTTCATAATACATATTTTCCATAAACTTTTAGAAGACCCCTTGTATGTGTCATGAGTTTTTTCTACAAGAAAAGCATCCAATAACATGCACAAATGTTAAGTGTACTGTTTGTTAAATTTTGATGTATACCTACATAACCCAAATCCCTAGCAAGCTACAGAATATTTCCATCATATCAGATTTCTTCCCTTCCTCTACAGGGAACCACTGTTAGAATTTTGTTCACCAAAGTTTAGTTTTACCTACTCTAGAACTCCATATAAATGGATTCATAGTAGGTAATCTTGTGTATGTTTCTTTTACTCAGCATGTTTTGAGAGTCATACATGTGTAGCAGCTCTTTGCTCACTGATGAGTAGTATTCCATGGTATGAATACATCACAGCTTAATTCACGACCTGTTAGGTGAAAAACTGATGTTAAGTGAACAACTGATGGACCATGAGCTATTTCCATTTTTCTATAATCATGAATAAAGCTCTTGTGCAAAAAAAGAAAAATTTCAAATTAAAAAGATTTTAAATCATTTTTATTATAATATAGGAATATGTAACCAGGAATTTTCTTGACTTGCATGAAGATAAAGTTCAAATCAAATTAAAACCTTAACATGGCACAATGGCCAATTCTTGGATCAGCAGAACTTGGGCCAGAACTTCAGAAAGTAATCCTATTGTTAACATTAGCTGGTGCATTTATTCATGTGCACAAAAAATGCAACAGCTTTAATATAAATTTGGGGGACAAGTAAGCTTTGATGATTCAAATTAACCTTAATTTATATCATGTGTTCTTTTTGAATGACACAAATCAAGTCATGTAGCATGTTCCTATTCCAACTCGTGCTTCTCAAAATATGAATTTCATATATCAATTTCATAGAAACAGCATCAAAATACATACTTAAGAACAACAGTGATTTTAGCTTTTGCATACCAGAAGAGTAAAATATAAAGATGAAATACATTTAAATAAAATGGGTAACAGATCTTTTTTAAGTGACAACTAAGGATGAGCCATAGAAATATTTAAATAGAAGCTACTTTCAAATACATCTTAAATTATCATATACCATTTGTGAAGTGTCCAAAGAAATAATTGTTCGTGTCTCATCCGCAGGACACATCAGGCCATATGAAACACTTGTTCCTCCTGCCAAAATAGAAAACAAGCTGAAGTTTAAAATTATTTTAAAATAGTTTCAACTACATTTCTAGGGCAAATTCTTAATACACAGTATACAGAGAGGCCCAATAAGAAAGTGATACTGGGGCCGGCATTATGGCATAGTGGGTAAAACTGCCACCTGTAGTGCCGGCATCCCATATGGGCACCGGTTCAAGTCCTGGCTGCACCACTTCCAATCCAGCTCTCTGCTATGGCCTGGGAAAGCAGTGGAAGATGGCACATGTCCTTGGGCCCCTGCACCCATGTGGGAGACCCAGAGAAAGCTCCTGGCTTCGGATTGGCGCAGCTCCAGCTGTTGCGGCCATCTGTGGAGTGAACCACCGGAGGGAAGACATCCCTCTCTCTTCTCCGCCTCTCCTTCTCTCTCTGTGTAACTCTTTCATGTAAATAAATAAATCTTAAAAAATAAAAAAAAAGTGATACCTAGTTCTAGTTTGCAAAATGCCATTTGCAAATGCTAACACACAGGGCCCGTGCTGTGGCACAGTGGGTTAACGCCCTAGTCTAAAGCACCAGCATCCCATATGGGCGCCAGTTCAAGACCCAGCTGCTCCACTTCCAATCCAGCTCTCTGCTACAGCCTGGGATAGCAGCAAAAGATGGCCCAAGCTCTTGGTTCCCTGCACCCACATGGGAAACCTGGAAGAAGCTCCTGGCTCCTGGCTTCCGATTGGCGCAGCTCCGGCCTTTGGGGCCATCTGGGGAGTGAACCAACGGAAGTAAGACCTCTCTCTCTCTCTGTGTAACTTTGACTTTCAAATAAATAAATAAATCTTTAAAAAAAAGTTAACACACTAAAAACCAAACACCTTTATTTTATGCTGTGTGCCAAAATGAAGCAATATTATGGAACTGAAAGCAACGGGATATGGCTCCATTCCTTGGACATACACACTCAAGTAAAGCCCCTAGCAATTTGTGAACTCCAAAAACATGATTAGAAAAGTTCTAAGCTACTGATTACTAAGATTCATCCTAGAGACACCATTACCTCCTTTCTATCATAATTATGAGAATCATTTATCATTTAAAATAATATCTTAATAAGCTTATACAAAATACAAATTAGAATAGAAACAGGTTAAAAATGTCCAGACTATGCAATATTTAAAAATCACTTATGTTTATTGGTGAAATGATTTTAATATAGAACAAATACTACATAGAATTCCTAAAAAGTATACTGTGTTTTTCTCTTATCCCTGCTGTCAAAGGAAAATACTTTCTTGACAATAAAGAATAACACAATATTCTTAGTTCTTAGCCAGATCTGTATAATTCCAGTATACACTAAAAAATGTACTTCTATACATTTTGCATGGAAGTAAACAGGTAGAAATTATCTTCTACAAGAACAGAGTGTGTTGATCTGTCAGGTTCAGTTTAAGTTAATGAGGTAAAACCATAAGCTGTCAGTTAAGAACATGATGCCTGTGGTCAGTAATCACTGTTTATCATAGGCATCTGAAATCAGAAAAATATTTCATAGTAAGTGGCAATGCAATGCCTTTGTCGCATGAATTCACAGGAAGTGTCAGCTGAAGAGATCATCTAGAGCTTCTGGAATTGCTGGGGACCCCATTGCATTCCATCAATGGCAGTTTGGTCAAGGTAACTTTCTTTGGCTTATTATGTATGTTGTTAAAATAATGCAGCCAATAAAAGATCTCCAGAGATCAAATTTGTCTCAGTGCAAAACATGCTCATATCTGTATTAAAAGAGACTACTGGGGACCAGTGCTGTGGTGCAGATTAATCCTTTGCCTGGGGCACTGGCATCCCATATGGGCACCAGTTCTAGTCCCAGCTGTTCCTCTTCCAATCTAGCTCTCTACTGTGGCCCCAGGAAAGCAGTGGGTGACTAAGAAGAAACTCCTGGCTCCTGACTTCAGGTCGGCTCAGCTCCAGCCATTGCGGCCATCTGGGGAGTGAACCAGCAGATGGAAGAGCTCTCTCTCTCTCTGCCTCTGCCTCTCAGCAATTCTGACTTTCAAATAAATAAATAAATCTTTAAAACAAAAGATATTATTAATTTGGCCATCACTGTACTGATTGATCTCTTAATTGATAGTGATCTAATTATCTCCATAAACATACATGTCAGAAGTAATGACTAGGGGCCGGCACTGTGGCGCAGCGGGTTAACACCCTGATCTGAAGTGCCAGCATCCCATATGGGCACCAGTTCTAGTCCCGGCTGCTCCATTTCCGATCCAGCTCTCTGCTGTGGCCTGGGAAAGCAGTGAAAGATGGCCCAAGTCCTTGGGCTCCTGTACCCACATGGGAGACCCGAAAGAAGCTCTGGCTCCTGGCTTCAGATCGGCGCAACTCCGGCCATTGCAGCCAACTGGGGAGTGAACCATTCCATGAAGATCTCTCTCTCTCTCTCTCTCTCTCTCTGCCTCTCCTCTCTCTGTGTAACTCTGACTTTCAAATAAAATAAATAAATCTTAAAAAAATGACTAAAGTAGGAACGTATTTTTTTATTTAGGAATTAAAATACAACTTCAACTAGGATCCAACTGGAGAAAAACCTATGCTAAGGGTACTCTATGTATCAAACAGTCTAGGTAGACTTAGAACAGATTCAGGAGTACCACAACCATTCTTACAAAGATGTCTATTCTCATTGGGATGACACAAATATTTAAAATATTTTAAATGGAAAGAATAAATTTATATCATATGAAAATTCAAAAGACATAATACCTACCACCAATTGGTATGATACAAAGGTTATATTTGCACGCTAGATTCACAATCTTAACTACATCATCATGACATGCTGTCAAAAAAAAGGGAGAATAAGTTAATCACAGGGACATGAATAAAATCTGGGTAACTGCAAAATAAGTGTCTATAAAGTTATTCAATGTCTAAAACTTCATTTATTCAATCATTAATACATGAAACACCAACATGAAAGTAATTTCTTTAAAACTTGCCATTTTGAATTTCAAACTTACAAAAAAGTCACAAAAATAATACTAAGAATTTCTTGCACTCTACACCTCCAAGTAATATCTTACCTAACTATAGTCCAATTAGCAAAACCAAGCAATCAACAATGATCTAAGACAATCAATTAACCTACAAACCTTATTCAAATTTTACCATTGTCTCACTAATGTCCTTTTTCCAGTCCAGGAAAAAATCCAGGTTCACACACTACATTTGGTTATCAAGTCTTGCATCTTCTTTGAAGACAGACATTTCCCCAGTCTACTTTTACCTTTCATAATCATGATATTTTTAAACAACACTGGTCAGTTATTTCATAGAATGTTTCTCAGTTTTGGTTTTTGTGTGTTTCCTCATGAGTAAATTCAGGTTAAACATTCTAGTGGTAATTTCACAGGGAAAATACTGTGCCTTTCTCAATGCATTATATCTGGAAGCACATGATGTAGGTATGTCTCATTTCTGGTAATATTAACATCCATCATGTTGTTAAGGGGTGTCTATTAGGTCCCTCCATGATGTTTCCTGTTGAAATCAGTGTCTTGTGGGGCCAGCGCTGTGGCGCAGCTGGTTAACGCCCCTGGCCTAAAGGGCCGGCATCCCATATGGGCGCCGGTTCTAGTCTCGGCTGCTCCTTCCAATCCAGATCTCTGCTGTGGCCTGGGAAAGCAGTAGAAGATAGCCCAAGTCCTTGGGTCCCCGCACCCGTGTGAGAGACCCGGAAGAAGTTCCTGGCTCCTGGCTGCGGATCGGCCAGCTCTGGCCATTGCGGCCATCTGGGGTGTGAACCAGCGGATGGAAGACCTCTCTCTCTGTCTCTACCTCTCCCTGTAACTCTGCCTTTTGAATAAATAAAATAAATCTTTAAAAAAAAAAAATCAGTGTCTTGTGAGAGACACTTAGACTATGTAAACATCATTTCTCATCATACTTTCACCCACTAATTTTAGCACCATGGTAAATCTTTATTTTGTTGTTAAATAAATATTAAAATGTTCTACAACCTTTACTGCACATGAATTCCTTTTTATTATACATAACTGAAAGGTTCTGTTATCAATACAAAAGTTATGTAAGTAACAAAAACCTGGCTGTGATGGTCTCAAATGCCAAACAAGTGGTGCTAAGACTCAATTTGATTGCCAATGGGACATTGGAGGAGGTCTTTAGGGAGGGGAAAAACATGGCAAAGAGATTATTTCAGAAAGATCTCCTGACAGAGTATAAGATGGCATGCAGGAGAGAGACTTGAAGCATGGAACCTAGGCAAATTTCTAAATTTTTAAAAAGATTGATTGATTGGCCGGCACCGCGGCTCAATAGGCTAATACTCCGCCTGCGGCACTGGCACACCGGGTTCTAGTCCCAGTCGGGGCACCGGATTCTGTCCCGGTTGCCCCTCTTCCAGGCCAGCTCTCTGCTGTGGCCAGGGAGTGCAGTGGAGGATGGCCCAAGTCCTTGGGCCCTGCACCCCATGGGAGACCAGGATAAGCACCTGGCTCCTGCCTTCGGATCAGTGCGGTGCACTGGCCGCAGCGTGCCAGCCGGAGTGGCCATTGGAGGGTGAACCAACGGCAAAGGAAGACCTTTCTCTCTGTCTCTCTCTCACTGTCCACTCTGTCAAAAAAAAAAAAAAAAAAAGATTGATTGATTGATTGACTGATTTGAAAGTCAGAGTTAGAAAAAAAGAAACACAGAAAGAGAGATAGATCTTCCATCCACTAGCACACTCCTGAAATGGTTACAACAGCCGGGTTTGAGCCAGGCTGAAGCCAGGGGTCAGGAGCGTTTTCCAGGTTGCCTACATGTGTGCAGTGGCCCAAACACTTGATCATCCTCTGCTGCTTTATCAGACACATTAGCAAGGAACTAGATCAGAAGTGGAGCAGTCAGGTCTCAAACTGGTGGCCATATGGCATGTTGGTGTAGCAGACGGTGGCTTTACCTGGCCCCTAAGTATCTAATATTAATTACTAAGATCTTGAAAAGGAAATAAGGATGCTCAGGAAAATAGACAAATGTATATTCATTTATAAAAGTGAAAGTATTGTTCTATAAAAGTTGTAATTATGATTTCTCAGGTTTATTTAATGCTAAGAATACATGTCATTGTCATTCCAATTTGTAATGAAAATTCATTTTCAAGGTTTCAGATTAAGCTTACAGAGCCTACCATTTGTGGCAAAATTTTTTACTAAATGGAATACTAGATAAGTAAAAATTAATAAAACACATGAATATGGCTGTTCAAAAACTTTAGCAAGGCAAAACTACCTTCTAAGAAAGTCACTGACATTATCTAAAACAGTACACATCTATCTCACCATCTACCCTTTCTCACTCTACCCTCTTATATGCTTTTTCTTCATACCATTTAAGACTGTCCAGTATGAAATATATATTTTTATCATGTGGCTCCCCACACCCCTCACTAGATCTTAGGGTACCCAGAACAGGGATTTCTGCTTTGGTCACTGCTTAGCCTCAGCATTAACCAGTACCAAGTCTGTATTTCCACAGACCTAAGTTTCTAGTATTTAAGCTACTGAAAATAATTCATACATACTAAATTTAGTAAGTGAAACAATTTTCAAAATATGTTAATGCCATATAAAAATTACAGTTTTATAACTATACCTACTATCAATAACAATGTATTGTATGAATGACCACTTATCCAAACTAAATGAAAGGCACAGATAGACACACTGTGTAAAGGTCACAAAGGTGACATATCCTGCTTGGAATGGACTTAGAAGACTCCAAATCAGGGAAGACACATGTTTTATAAGTCCTTACTCCAACCAGGATACCTCACTCATATAACTAACCCCTGAAGACAGTTACTCCATTTTACAAAAACTAACCCCTCAAGAGAGTATAGGAAGACTGGGGAGACAACAAACTTGAAGGCATGAAAATCTTTAAGGCTACAAAAACCCACATAGGCATTGGTAAGTGACTAAAGAGGAAATCAGAATAGAAATTTTAGGGGCCAGTGCTGTGGTGTAGCAGGTAAAGCCTCCACCTGCAATGCCAGCATGTCATATGGCCACCAGTTGAAGTGCTGGCTGCTCTACTTCCAATCCAGCCCCCTGCTATAGCCTGGGAAAGTAGTAGAAGATGGCCCAAGTCTTTGGGCCCCTGCATCCCTGCCAGAAGTACAGGCTCCTGGCTTCAGACTGGCTCAGTTCCGGCCATTGCAGGCAGCTAGGAAGTGAACCAGTGGATGGAAGACCTCTCTCTCTCAGCCTCTGTAACTCCACCTTTCAAACAAATAAATAAATATATTTTTTAAAAATTTTAAAAAGAATAGAAATTTTAAAAAAGAAAGGAAGGAAGGGCAGAACTATGAGGGAATAAATCAAATGAGAAGTATTTTACAAAGCAAGAAAACCTTTGTGTACTAAGTAACTCCATCTGTTTCCTAAACCTGGGCTTTTAAAAATATTTGGATATGTTGAAGCAAGGTACATACTTGCACTCTGATATTTTCTCAGTTTTTTAATAGTCAAACACATGAAGAAAATATCTAGAAAGCACACTTGAAAGGTCTTCTCAAGACACAGCTAAGGTGGGGACCGGCACTATGGCACAGCAGGTAAAGCCTCCGCCTGCAATGCTGGCATGCCACATGGGCACCCGTTATAGAGTCCCAGCTGCTCCAATTCCAATGCACTTAGGAAAAGCAGTGTAGGACCTCTGTCCTTAATGAATTGTACTATGAGAATTAATGGTAAAACTGGTCTTCAGACACACTTTGTGTGTCTGTGTGGGTGCAAAATGTTGAAATCTTTACTTAGAGTTGGCCTTCTATATATAAAGATAATTAAAATGAATCTTGGCCAGCGCCGCTGCTCAATAGGCTAATCTTCCACCTGTGGCGCCAGCACACCGAGTTCTAGTCCCAGTTGGGGCGCCGGATTCTGTCCCGGTTGCTCCTCTTCCAGGCCAGCTCTCTGCTGTGGCCCGGGAGTGCAGTGGAGGATGGCCCAGGTCCTTGGGCCCTGCACCCCATGGGAGACCAGGAGAAGCACTTGGCTCCTGGCTTCAGATCAGTGCGGCGCACCGGCCGCAGTGGCCATTGGAGAGTGAACCAACGGTAAAGGAAGACCTTTCTCTCTGTCTCTCTCTCTCACTGTCCACTCTGCCTGTCAAAAAATAAATAAATAAAAAATAAAAATATAAAATTAATCTTACTGAAGAATGGAATGGGAGAGGGAGTAGGAGGTAAGATGGGAGTCGGGATGGGAGGGCGGGAATGGGGGGAAGAACTGCTAAATTCTTAAAGCTCTACCTATGAAATTTCTATTTATTAAATAAAAGCTAAAAAAAACCACAGTTATGTACAACAAATTATTATATATTATTAATATATATTATCATATATTATTATATATAAATTATTATATGTCCTGCTTTAAAGTATCTGCTAAAAGAGATGAGTAAAAAACCATTTATATAAATATAGTACCTAACCCTCACAAAAAGCAAAATAACAAGAGAAAATTCATCCCAAACCAAATCCAAATGACTTCTCAAAACTTAATTCATTTTGGCCGGTGCCGCGGCTCAATAGGCTAATCCTCCACCTAGCAGCGCCGGCACACCAGGTTCTAGTCCCGGTCAGGGTGCCGGATTCTGTCCCGGTTGCCCCTCTTTCAGGCCAGCTCTCTGCTGTGGCCCGGGAGTGCAGTGGAGGATGGCCCAAGTGCTTGGGCCTGGCACCCCATGGGAGACCAGGATAAGCACCTGGCTCCTGCCTTCGGATCAGCGCGGTGCGCCGGCCGCAGCGCGCCGGCCGCGGCGGCCATTGGAGGGTGAACCAACGGCAAAGGAAGACCTTTCTCTCTGTCTCTCTCTCTATCCACTCTGCCTGTCAAAAACAAACAAACAAACAAACAAACAAAAAAACAAAAAAACACTTAATTCATTTCAAAGGCATACATACAAATTTAAAATGTTTTTACCCTACAAGCTGATTTCAACAAGCTACTATTATTAGCTTGCAGTTATCAATTATTTTAATTAAGTTTCCATATATCCAAATATATCACTGGTTGATAATAATTTATTTAAGCTTCCAAATTAACCAAAAATAGATTTTTCTACTAAGCTCCCAATATGATCATTTACATTTAAAATGAAGACTCAATCATCAACAAAATCAATCGTTAAAACCAACAGTTCAGAGGCTGGAGCTGTGGTGTGGTAGGTTAAGCCTCCACCTACAGCACTGTTTTGAGTTCCAACTGCTCTACTTCCATCAAGCTCCTGTTACTGTGCCTGTGAAAGCAGCGGAATATTACCCAAGTGCTTGGGCCTCTGCACCTTTGTGGGAGACCTGGACAAAGCACCTGGCTCCGGGCTTCAGCTCTGGCTGTTGCGACTATTTGGGGAGTAAATCAGTAGATGGAAGACTTCTTTGTATCTCCCTCTCTCTGTCTATAACTCTGCCTCTCAAATAAATAAATAAATCTTAAAAAAGAAAAAAAAAAAGTTAAGTATGATCAGATCAAGAGAAGACGAAAAGGGTAGGCATGTGACCCAGCAGTTAAGATGGCAGGTAAGATGCGTGAATGCCGTACGGGATCGGGTTTGAGTGCCAGCTCTGTTTCTGATTCCAGCTTTCTGCTAATGCACATTCTGAGGGGCAGCAGGTGATGGCTCCAGTAGCAGAGGCCCTGCCATTCATGTGGAAGACTTGGATTGAATTCCCAACTTTCAGCTTCCTCCTGGCCCAGACCCAGCTGCTGTAGGCATTTATGGAGTGAAATAATGGATGGTGGCACCTGTCTATCTTTTTTTCTTTCTCTCTCTGCTCTCTGCCTCTCAAAAAAATAAAAGAAAAAAGGACTTCATGACCTTTAATAAACTCTTAAAATATAGCTATTTATATTTTTTACAACTCATGTTAAGAAGTATCTTTTCGGCCGGCGCCGCGACTCACTAGGCTAATCCTCCGCCTTGCGGTGCCGGCACACCGGGTTCTAGTCCCGGCCGGGGCGCCGGATTCTGTCCCGGTTGCCCCTCTTCCAGGCCAGCTCTCTGCTGTGGCCAGGGAGTGCAGTGGAGGATGGCCCAAGTGCTTGGGCCCTGCACCCCATGGGAGACCAGGATAAGTACCTGGCTCCTGCCATCAGATCAGCGCGGTGCGCTGGCTGCAGCGGCGGCCATTGGAGGGTGAACCAACGGCAAAGGAAGACCTTTCTCTCTGTCTCTCTCTCTCACTGTCCACTCTGCCCTTCAAAAAATAAAAATAAAAAAAAAAAAAAAAAAAAAAAAAAAAAAAAAAAGAAGTATCTTTTCAACCACTAAATTTATTTAAGATTTAACAATACTGAATTGATGATAAAAAGAAGAAAAAAACTTACTTGGCCATAAAACTATATCAGGAATTCGCTGAAACATTCCTTCCCTGAGCAAAAATATCTCATGAAGACAATGACCTGTTTTGTGATTTAAAAGAGAAAAATGTAAAAACATCTTAAACTATAGAAAATTTATATAATTAAAAATAAAAAGTATTAATATAAAGTAGCTTACCATGAGCTCTAAATACTCGATCTTCTGCTTCCTGTGAATATGAAATATTGGTTTCTTTAAGTTCATGAAGAAAATCTTCATTTACAATAGAAGGAGGTGTATCACTAGGATTTAAAGATGCCTAAAAAACAGAATTGAAATCTTTGACTTACTTTTAGAAAATAAATTTTGAATACCTCAGAGAGAATGACTTTAAAATACAGATTTGTTTTAATCTCAAGATAAAAACATAGGAAAATGCCAGATAATAAACCAATAAACCATAAACCAATTTTGTGAATATGCAAATTACAAGTAGCCTTATTAATCAGAGTTTATATCATAAATTACAAAAGCCCAATGTTTTCTCTGCTTCTAGGGCCCACTTTTTCCTTATTTCTAAAGATTACAATAAGAAGAGGGAAGAAAGCAGTCTCCAATCTTCAACTTTATGTTAAGGAGACTGGGGAAGAGCTCCTTGACTTGTGCATTATCTAAATCTTTATCTGCACTTAAATTTAGTATTTCCTGTTCTTCAGTTACTCTTTTAAAATGATCAACAGAAAGCTTCACAATAATAAGCCCTTTTTTATAGGGCTGCTTTAAAACTCATGACATAATTAATCATAAACTTGTTTGTCAACTTCAATTAACAGGCAACATAAAATTTCATCTTCAACTGCACAGTTAAAACTGTGAGACTGGACATGTCACCCAACTCCCATGAGCCCTAGTTTCTTAGTCAATTACATGAGGTTACTGCCACCAAATGTATAGGGTTGCTGTAATGAAGACAAGTTAAATGTGATACTTCTTCTCAAAAGTATCTAATATGCCTAGCATATAAGCAGAAGTTTATAAATGGCTGGCCAAATCAAACGTGCTATGAACAAAAAGAGCTATGACACAGTATTTGAGAAAAAACAAAGTGTAAGAATGTATAAAGAAAAATATATGACTTGTATATGCTCTTATTCATTTGTATCATACATATTTACTGAGTGATTGTACAAGCACTGGGGACACAGTGGTGAGTCAGACAGAAGAAAGAATCTTGACTTCATGAAATTTATCCTATAGTACAAAGAAATGACTAAAAAAAACTCTAATGAAACATATCAATTAATATTTAAGCTATTAAAAACTGAAAAGGGCTCAAAGCAGGCATTTGGCACAGTAGTTAAAATGCTGCTTGGTATTCCCACATCCAAAACCAGAATGCCTGGGTTCAAGTCCCAACTCTGCTGCTAATTACAATTTCCTGCTAATAAGGACCTTGGGAGGCAGCAGATGATGCCCTAGGTATCATCTGGGAGACCTGTGTTGAGTTCCCAGTTCAACAGCTTTGGTCTGGTTCAATTCTACCTGTCGTGGGCATTGGGGGAGTGAACTAGTGCATGGGAGATATTTCTCTCCGTCTCTCTCCCTCTCTCTGTCTCGTTCTCTATCTCTCTGCCTCACAAATAAATATATTTTAAAAATTGAAAAGATAAAAGGCGTACATCTAAAATTGATGAAATTTCTGGATACAGCATGTTGACTGTATCAGTGTCCAAAAAAGGTCATTACAAATAGTCAAGAGAGTGAAAGAATTTAAGGTAACAAAAGAGACCTGTAAGAGAAGTTAAAAGCATAGTTTAGAAAGAGTAAGGAAGTAGTTGTTCAGCCTAATTTATTTACCAGAATAAAATAACTGTAGCTCCATAAGTGAATCTAACAAGTACTCCGTGAATGCCTGCATCTCTTTGTAATATATTGGATTACATGGAGAATACAACACAACACACAATCCCTGTATTATGGAGCTTACACTCAGAGAGACATGCAGATCACCATGCTAATGCAATTAATGGTAAAAATTTTTAAAAAGCACTTTAAAATGCTAAATATTTCATTAGTTTCATATATACAGTTTAAAGTTTCCTAATCCCACTTTCAGAACAGCAAAACAACATGAACCTATTTAAATGTTCTAAACATTTTAACATTAAACATAACATTACCTTTTTATTTTAGATTATTCTATAATTAATCCTAGATTCCTGTCAGTCTACTAAACAAATTGCTCTACACAGAATTAACTAATTTTCACTTCACCATTACTCTGTGAGACAAAGAACAAGAAGTTCTTCAGTAAAGAAAATTAATTTGTTTCTCAAATTAAAACAACCAAGGCTCAGAGTGGATAAAAAGTTTGCCAGATAAATTCTAAGATTAGGATCTAGAACTGTGGCCCTAAAAAATTGCCCCTAAAAACCATAACCAGGACAATATAACTAATAGGTTTCATATTTTTACAAAAAAGACAATTGCAAGCTGTCTGATTCCATAGTGTAGTGGTTATCAAGTTTGCCTAACAAAAAAGACAACTGCATTAAAGCAAATATAATAAATTATAAAGATTAATTTGGTATTAAAAAACACATGTAAGCTTGTTTGTAATCATTCTTGTTTGCTTACTTTAGAGGTAGTTTTATGCTCCAGAGTTACTCCAAGGGTATTTTGGATCCATTCTCTAAGAGTTGGTAAAACCATGCCACTAAGAGGATACCTAAGATACAAAGAGGGTAAAATATTAGAGCAAAGTCTCTTCATTTCTCTTCATTTAAATTTAAGAGTGCAGTTCTACTTCTGGTAATAGCTAAGCAGCTCCTATTAAACCAACCCTCCCACATACAAGTATAACTGTAAACTCTACACAAAATCAAATCAAAACAAACAAAACCCAACTATCTTAAGGCACTATAGAGAGACCAAAAGCCAGCAAACAATAATGGAAGTTAAGGAAAAACCACTGTGAGTATCCAGTTTTGTTCTTTTCAGTTATTATTATTATTATTAATTTTATTTATTTGAAAGGCAGAGACAGAAGAAGAGAGAGTGAGGGAGAAAGGGAAACAGTGGAGAGAGAGAGAAGGAGGGAAACAAAGAGGAAGAAAGAGATCTCCAAACTATTGGTTCATTTCTCAAATGCCCACAACAGCTGGGGATGAGCCAGACCGAAACCAAAAGCCAGGAACTCAATCCAGGTCTCATGTGGGTGGCAAGGACCCAACCCGTTAGAATGGAGAGTGCAGCCAGGATTCAAAACCAAGCACTCCAACATGAGATGCAAGCACTCCAGGCAGCAGCTTAACCACTACACTAAATGGTATTCCTTGTTTTTTTTTTTTTTTTTTAAGATCTAGTTACTTTATCTGAAAGGCAGGATTACAGAGAGAGGCAGAGAGAGAGATCTTCTAACCGCTGGTTCATTCCCTAAATAGCCACAAGGCCAGGGCTGAGCCAGGAAGAAGCCAGGAGTCAGGAGCTTCATCCGGGTCTCCCACATGGGTGCAAGGGCCCACGGATGTAGACCATCTTCCACTGTTTTACCAGGCTCATTACCAGACAGCTGGATTGGAAGTGGAGCAGCCAGGACTCGAATTGGTGCCCACAGCAGATGCTGGCATCGCAGGAAGCAGCTTAACCTACTACACCACAGTGCTGACCTCCACCCTTGGTTTTGCTTTTTAAACAGGTTTCAGCCAGAAGGAAAGCCCAGCTAGTGCCACAAAAAGTAATAAAAATACTGAAAACCTATAGTCTTCCTGGCTTCAGGACCACAGGACAGTATTTGAAGTGAACACAGTACTTGGAAAGCATACAAGGAAATCACAAGAAGAGTAAAAGAGGGACCTGCCTACCAACTCAGTCTGAATGTCTGGCTGGTCCTGATTTATGCGAGCATGGAGCATGTAATGGAGTCTTTCAAACAGCTGCTAAAAACAACTGAACATACAATTCAGCTGCTCAGTCACCACCACAGAGGAACAGAATTTGAAGTTTAAGATCAGTCAAGTTAATTTCTTGATTTAAAACAATAAGCTTCTTTAGAAGAATGTAACAGAATCCATAGTTCTTGCTACATATTATTGACGATGTCCATGATATACTCCAAAATTACTAGACAAGAAACAAAAAGTGTAATCCCTAAATGAAGAGAAAGGGCAAACAATAATGACTGACCCCAAGATAATCCAAGATACTGGAAATATCACAAGGATTTTAAAGTGGCTTTTGCAACTATGCTAAAGGATAAAAGAAACAATATCCTCCCCATGAATAACAGAAAAGGATTAGCAAAGAAATAGAAACTAAAAAGTTACAAAATAGAAATTCTATAATTGAAACTCTGAGATATTCTATTGGTATCTCACCCTAGTCTTAATTTGAATTCCACTGATTACGTATGAGATGGAGCACCTATTTTAGTGTCTGTTGTCCATCTGAATATCTCGTTTTGAATGTCATTTCAAGGCTTCTGCTCATTTTCCTATCTGGTTATTGCTGTTTTCTGATTGATGCGTAATAGTTCTTCCAAGTAAGAATATATATATACACACACACACACACACACACACATATATAAACATTTTCTTCTGTGACCTAGCTTTTCACTCTCTCAAAGGAATCTTTTAATGAAAATAAGTTCCATATTTTAATGCTGCTTAACTGACTTACATTTTCTCTATTTCAATTAATGCTTCATGTCTTCTGCTTTTTTTGCTTACCTCAAACTCAGAAACATACTTGGAGTATTCTTCCAGCAATTTTATAATTTTATAAATTTAAGTCTATAATTCATCTGGAATTGATCTGTGTATATTATATAAGGTAAGTTTGAAACTAACTTTTTCTAAAATGATAGTTTAAGTCTTCCTATATCTATTTTTATTTTGTGTGTGTGATTTTGAGTAAAGAAAATTAGAGGAAAAAATTAGACAATAGTGGTCACTATTCCAAATCAAAGAACAATTAAGCCAACACTGAAACTTGACTGGTCTTAACATTGATGAGGGAATTTCAAAAAGTTCATGGAAAACACATATTATCTTTTAATTCCATTCTTCCATGAATTTCCTGAAGCTCCCTTGTATGTCTGGCAAACTACTTAAAACGTTTAATCTGGAATACTCTTGCTCAAAATTATTTCCCATTCATCCATCAAAGATGGAAGATCTCTCTCTCTCTCCCTCCCCATCTCTCTCTGGAACTCTGCCTTTCAAATAAGTTAAATAATTTTGTTATTTAAAAAACTTGCAAGGTTAAATACTTGGGCAGAAAACGTGCAACTTTTGTCAAAAATGTGACAAGGGGAAAGTCGACCATCTAAACCAACTGTTGAATCAGGGTGACTACTGAACAGTTCTTTAACATAACTGAAAATTATTTTGAGAACATTAGGAAGTAGTTTTCATTGACAAATATACTGTGTAATTAATTTACCATTCTTCCTTAGGACTAAACTACACCATACTACAGATGACAGAGAATCAGAATTTTTTCAAGACCAGTGAAATCAATCTATATGAAAAAAAAAAAAAATGCTAAGTATCCAAGGAGGAAGTATACATCAGGACTATAAATAAAGTGACTTAGACTCACTCTGGGGCAGTGCATAAGAAGCAATAAAAATATCAGGATATATAACTCTCCATTCTCAGAGTGAGTTCCACAATTGCTATGTAATTTAATAGCCTCTTAATAATCAGATAAGACATCAATGAAAAATTATGCCACTGAAAATACAAAGTATAAAAATCCAAATTCTCTCTCCATTTATGCACTAACTTGTGCTTTGCATGTGCCAATTAAAATCAAAGAATGACATTTTCAAAATTTTATTTTACATAAATTATAAAATTCATTTTAAAACACTGCCTTATGATACTTAAACCAAGGAAGACTCAATTCATCTATACCCAGGAGGAGTAAGAGTGCCAGATGATAAACCTAGAAATTTATAAAGTGACAAATTATAAACCTGTTCAAAAGCTAAGACTGTTCAGGGAAAAGAAGTTATTTTTCTCTAATTCTGTGACAGCCTATAAAAACAACTCCTAACTTAATAGCTTGGTATGAAATGTCAAATTCCCCAAAATATAAATACAATTGATTACACTTGCTTATAAAAACCCCAATATTGTCAGTGTTCTTTGGATCAGAAATAGGGTAACTCCTCCATAAATTTTCACCAAGAGGCACTCAGTTTCTAACACCTAAGGATTCTCCTTTGTTTCTTTCCAGCTGTATTATATTTCTTTCTTTGGTATTTTATTCACCTTGTGCATTTATAGAAGTTAAAATGTACATATTTGCTCAGTCTACCACACTGCCAGGATAGAAAAATTTCTATAAAGAACTTCAAAAATTGTCCTTACAATCTAATATTATTAATATATATTATTAATACATAATGGTGAATTTATAAACTGTTCAGCCAAGTAGTATTTTCTTGTACTCAGTCTTTTGAGACACAGATTTTGTTTTCTCTCTCAAGAATATCACAGTGTTCTTATGCTTCTGCCCTTTGCCTTTCAGTGGAACAATAGGCATTTGTATCACAAGATGACTTTTTACAATACAACCAATTCCACTCTGTCAGTACAGAGTATCGAAGACTACCAAAAAGTGCTGCCAGAGCTTGGAGAGAAAACTGAATCAACATACTGGATCTCCAGTTATTCACAAATAACTCACAAGCACAACAAAACAGAAACAGTCTGCGAACAAAGCTTAAAACACTTGGTTTTTAACCCCAATTTCCCACAGAGCAGGTGACCCCAGGTAAACTAGTTAACATCTCTCATCCTCAATCTCTTCATTATTTTTAAAATGTAACTATTCATTTTTCAAGGGTATTATAATTCAGTAAGCATTTAATAAGTAAAAAATCTTAAAGAATGTTTGTAAATATTTTCTGATAACAAAGAATTATACCAATTTATCCATTATCCAAGAATCTACAGTAGATATAGAGAAAGCTATAATTTAATACAATTTAGTTTATTGTGCTAATATAAGATAAAGGTGCTTGTGGAAGCATCAAAATGGAAACTATCAGTTCTTTAGTGTTAGTCTATTGTTTGTGTAGCCAACACTCCCAGAACATCTAAATCCCACTTCTTTTTTCTTTTTTAAAATTTATTTATTTATTTGAAAGGCAGAGTTACAAACAAAGAGGGAAAGACAGAGACATACTTCTTCCATCCGCTAGTTCACTCCCCAAATGGCCACAACAGTTGGAGCTGGGCTGGGCTGAAGCCAGGAGCTAGACTTTCATCCAGGTCACCCATATGGGTGGCAGGAGCCCAAATAATTGGACTATCTACTGCTGCTTTCCCAGGCATATTAGCAGGGAGTTGGATCAGAAGTAGAATAGTGGGAACTAGAATCAGTGCTCACAGAAATGCAGCTTAACCTGCTGTGCCACATATACCCCTACATCCCATTTCTGTGTACGGGAATTTCCTTCTACCCAAAAGAATACACCAGATAATCATTCTGGTCTCGGTCACAGGCTTCTCCAGTGAGCTGCACCCTTTTTTTCTTCTTCCCCACGAACACTGTCTCAGGAGTCAATGATACCAAGAAATGAGGCTTTTGTATGTCCATTACCACCTGGATAAAATATCCATCAAGACCAATGAATTCATTTTGTTTTGAATTTATGCTCTCCTAACAAGCTGCATTTTGTTTTCTAGATTCCAAGATATCAGACAGGACACTACAAGTATTTCATATCCTAAAAAAGAACCATAAGCAAAAAAACTGAGGTTCTAACATTTTAAATCAATCTTTTAAATCTCATTTTAAATCACTTATATAATTGTGGCAAATGTATCAGACCCCTACAGTTCAATCTCTTCTGAGAAAACTGACAGATCAAGGGTGAGAATATCCAGATTAAGAACCAGGTACTGGGGCCCGAGCTGTGGCGCAGTGGGTTAAAGCCCCAGCCTGAAGTGTCTGGGCTGCTCCTCTTCCGATCAAGCTCTCTACTATGGCTGCTATGGCCTGGGAAAGCAGTGGAAGTAGGCCCAAGTCCTTAAGCCCCTTAACCCACGGAGGAGACCTGGAAGAATCTCCTGACTCCTGGCTTCAGATCAGCTCAGCTCTGGCCATTGTGGCCATTTGGGGAGTGAATCAGCGGATGGAAGACCTCTCTCTCTCTCTGTCTCTACCTCTCTCTATACTCTGTCTTGAAATACATAAAACTAGCTGGCACCGCGGCTCACTAGACTAATCCTCCGCCTTGTGGCGCCAGCACACCGGGTTCTAGTCCCAGTCGGGGCACCGGATTCTGTCCCGGTTGCCCCCCTTCCAGGCCAGCTCTCTTCTGTGGCCAAGGAGTGCAGTGGAGGATGGCCCAAGTGCTTGGGCCCTGCACCCCATGGGAGACCAGGAGAAGCACCTGGCTCCTGCCATCTGATCAGCACGGTGCGCCGGCCACGGCGGCCACTGGAGGGTGAACCAATGACAAAGGAAGACCTTTCTCTCTGTCTCTCTCTCTCTCTCACTGTCCATTCTGCCTGTCAAAAATAAAATAAAAAAAAAAAAAAAAGAAAGAAAGAAAACTAAATCTTAAAAAAAACAAAAACGAATCAGTTACTGAACCCATGGAACTCACTAAGGTATGGGTATCAAGTATATTATATTCTCTGCACCTAAACCCTCATTTCACAAGGACACACATGCTCCTAGCACAAACCACTATGCCACATAGTGCGCATTATAGAAGACAGTAGGTGTCTTATGCTTTCAAGGGCACTGTGTTGAAATACAAATTACTATCTTACCCTTTCATGGAACAGAAATATTGTACATTCAAGGTCCAAAGAAAGAAAGAGAAAAACAGAGTGAAACAAGAACTGTGTCTGAGAGAAGTTGGTTTTCTAAGTTCAAAAAGTTATTTTTTCCCCTTGAAAATTTTGAAAAGTCACCATCTAGATAAGTTTCTATTATCCATTATTATATAAGTTATACATTATTATATATACATATACATAATATATTATATATAAAATATAATAATATAATATATATAACAATATATACATTATTATATAAGTTTCTATTATACATTATTCTATTTCAAACAGGAAAGACAACATTTAGGACATTAGGAAATTTAATTTCAACCAGAAACTTCCACTACAGTTTCTCACTTGAACTTCCCTCTGCATGCCCAATGATGGGAGATTTGAATACAGATAATACTTATTTTTCGTATCAAAAAGTAGGTGTCAAATATATGTTTTCATATCTTCATCAAAACTAGTTCCTAATTATTACTCCTGGGATTTTATTTCAGGTACAAAATATGTATAAGTTGGAAAAAAACAATTATATTGAAAAGAAAGTAACTTCTCCAAAGGAATGAAACATTTCTTTGCTAAAATTTTAATAATTATGTACCTTATAAGTTTAAAAAACATTAACCTAAGCATATGAATGTCCAAGAGATATGAAATCAAAATGTAATACAAGAACAGAATCAAAATACATCAGATCCAATGCTTTCACTTAGTCTCAATGTTTTATTTACTGTATTAGTGCCAGATTTGTACTCACTGTCTTTTCAAGATTTACATCAGGATTCAATAGACAAACCAAAAATACAGAATTGGCAGGGGCTATTTTGGTTAAAATCAATTAAGAACCATTTTAAAATTCCATCCACATCTGGAAAAAACTGCAACAATACAAATATCCCTCCAAAATTCTTTTTAAATATTTTCCAGTTTTATTGAGATAAGACTGAACAAATATTCTTTATCATTATCAACACCTTACCAAAACATTTCAGAAATGTGAAAGCCAACCACACAAATGACTGCTCTTTCTTAATTTCTTCCTTAATGTTATCTCAAAAACTAATTTTGAAAATATTATTTATATTCACAAAGAACCAAATCCCACACTAACAAACAAAGTGCCAGATATAAATATGAAGTTACTTTCAACAAACCAATGGCATGAGAATTGGGTGGTGGAATGGCTGTAGACCCTGTTTGAATCCTGATTTAAATAAACAACACATAAATGGTACTGATGAGACAATTGAGAGAATGTAAACCTGAATCAAATAATTAGATACTATATAATTTTTCTTATTTTGGAAGTATGAAAGTGGTATATGATAGATTCTATTAGGCCCTCTTAAAAAATTTATGTATTTATTGTACTTGAAAGGCAAAGACAGAAAGACAAGCAGACAGAGATCTCCCACCCACTGGTTCACTCCCCAAAGGTACACAATAGCCAGGGCAGAGCCAGGTCAAAGCTGGGAACCCAGAAGTCAATCCAGGTCTTTTATGTGAGTGGCAGGGACCCACCCACTGGAGCTATCACCTACTATCTCCACAAGTACACAGAAGTAGGAAGCTGGTATCAGGAGTGGAGCTAGGGCTTAATCCCAGGTACTCTGATAAGGAATAAGGGCATACAAAGAGGCATCTTACACAACTGCACCAAATGTCTATCCCAGGTCCTTATTTTTAAAGGGATACATATATAAATATTTAGACGTGACATGACAATGTCAGAATTTAAAATATTACATGAAAAAAATAAGCAACTATGGAAAAATGTTAATAGTTTGTATGCTGGAGGAAGGTTCAATGTAATATCCTTTCTTTTTTATACATGTCTAAAATTTTTCATAGAACAAAAAGTCAAAAGGAACAAAAAGAACAAACTAGGATTACCTTTTCCCAGTCAATTCAGCTTGCCCCTTTTTATTGAAGAAGAACTTGGAATCATTATATCCCCATCCATTCCATTTCATAATTTCTTGCCTAATGAGAGAAAAAAAATTAAATGAGACCTTTGCTAAATGTCTCAACACTGATATTACTATCAACCCTTACATTCATTTAAAAGACTTTTTAAAAAGCTAATAAGTAATAAAATTAGACATTGTGCCTATAAATATTATGTTTAAATAAAATTAGTATACACTAAAATGTCTATATATTAATATCTCTAAATATAGAATCATTCTGATATACAGCAACTGCTTCACAGAGAGCTATAACCAATAAATCTAATACATTCAAAGGAAGAAAGAAATAAGAAACATGCCTATATTATGTTTTTTCATTTTCATACATGTTCTTGAGTTTATATTACAGGCTGGCCTAAAGAATTCTGCAATCAAAACTAAGAATTCACTTGAATAGGAAACAAAGGTTTACATATATTAGGGGAAAAGTCACAACTTTTAATCTGTTGTTAGGAGGAAAAAAAACAGTTTACAAGGTAAGTTCATTAGTAGTAAATTCTTTTAATAAAGTAGATATAAGAACCTCAGGGTTACATTCGTAAACATTCTAAATGCTTCAGTTTCCAAGTGACTACCAATCTCCACCTTGACTTACATATCATAAGTTAATATTAGTTTTCAGCACTTCAAAACAGTATCTCAGGGGCAGGTGCTGTGGCACAGTAGGTTAAAGCCCCAGCCTGCAGTCCTGGCATCCCATATGGGCACCAGTTTGAGACCTGGCTGCTCCACTTACAATCCAGCTCCCTGCTAAAGTGCCCAGGAAGGCAGCGGAGGATGGCCCAAGTCTTTGGGCCCCTGCAACCACGTGGGAAACCCGGAAGAGGGTCCTGGATTCAGATTGGCTCAGCTCTGGCAGTTGCAGCCATTTGGGGAGTGAACCAGCGGATGGAAGACTTCTCTCTCTCTAACTCTTTCAAATAAATAAAATAAATCTTTAAAAAAAATTGTATTTGTAATTTCTAAAATACCAGTATTTCAAAAATAGTTTCTATTAAAATCAATGGTTCACTCATTCAATTTTGCATATCACATAAGAATAAGGAGGTCTGAGCCTATGCATAACACAAAGAGCCAGGGCAGTGAAGTATTCTGTCAATTTTTATTACAAGGGTTTTAAAATTTTTTTTATTATGTATTCACTTCTTTGATAACCAGGCAGAGAGGGAGGGACGGAAAGAGCAAGTTCCCATTTGCTAGTTCACTCCCTGAAAGTCCACAATGGCTGGGATTGGGACACACAGCTAAAGCCAGGAACTGGGAATGCAATCCAGGGTTTCCCAAATGAGTTGCAGGAACCCAATTACTTGGGTCATCACTGCTGCCTCCCAGGGTCTGCACTGTCAGGAAGCTTGAGTCAGGAGATAGAGCTGAGAATTGAAACCAAGTACTTCAATATGGGACATGGCTATCTTCTAGTATATATTTTCATGTGGTTCTCCAATGTGATCTTGACTACTAAAATAAATTGGTGGTGAATCTTCTTACCGCAAACTCAACTATGCAGTTGGATAGAAATAACTTGATGAAAACATCTCTATCTAGAAAGATATTTGCTGCTTTAAGACTTCAAAATAAACAAAGACACACTCAGAAAGCATTCTTCTAATTTTCCATAATTCTCAGAGAAAATGATAAATGATAGGCATATTTTTCATTACAATCATAATTCTTACTTTAAATCAAAAGCTTTCCAAACATAAAACAAATGAACTAGATATAAGTAATTAAAAGGTGTATTAGAATCTCCATCTTTATAAAATTGAAACAAACTAGGAAGGCTTTATTTATCTTTTTTTAATTAAGATTTATTTATTTAAAAGGTAGAATGAAAGAGAAAGAGATACTGATTGATTCTATCTGCTGGTTCACTCCCAAATACATGCAATAACCAGGAATGTGCCGGCTGAAGCTGGGAACTCCATCTAAGTCTCCCATGTAGTGGCAGGGACCCAAGTACTTACTGCCTCACAGGATGCATTAGCAGGAAGCTAAATCAGAAGAGGAGTAACTGGCACTTTATTATGGGATGTAGTTATATCAAATAGCAGCTTAACCTACCGCAACACAATGTTCACTCCGTAAGGCTCTGTTTAAAATTGTAATTTGCCAGCAACAAAAACTATATCACTATATAAAAACAAATTTTAAAATACCTCTAGTATTAATACAGAGGCTAGTTTTATAGATGAGTGAGTTTTAAACTAGACTCTATCTCACAACTCTATCTCACAACATTCCTACTTCACCACAGAGGGAAGTTTTGGAAGAGAAATTCTGCAAAAATCTCTACAAAAAACCCTCATGCCTAATGTCATGACTGACATTCTAATTTCCTTAAGATTATACTTTCTAAAAACAGGTTAAGTTATCTTTCACTTTACTTTTTTCATGTTTTAATTCTCTTCGCTTTATAAATTATAATGTACTTAATATTTTATATTCCATAATAATTTATATAGGAAGAATATAATTTCAATAAATTAACATTTCCCCATATGCATAAATTTTCATACATGAAAGCATTTAATTACTAGTGAATTTAAACATTTTCATGAATTCTACACTCCACACAACAGCAGTCCTGTATTATACAAAATAAATTCAAAGAGATCAACGTAATCCATTTGCTCTGCTATTACAACCACCAAGCAGTGGGAAATCATTTCAATACAGATGTTGAGTTTTCTATGCTTATATAGCTTAACAATGAGAATAATTTTCCTTAAATTTATCCCTAGAATTGAAAAAAAACAGGAGGCCGGCGTTGCAGAGTAGCAGGTAAAGCCGCCGCCTACATTGCTGGCATCCCATACAGGGGCCAGTTCGAGTCCCGGCTGCTCCACTTCTGATCCAGCTCTCTGCTATGGCCTAGGAAAGCAGTAAAAGATGGCCCAAGTCCTTGGGCCCCTGCACCCACGTGGGAGACCCAGAAGAAGTTCCTGGCTCCTGGCTTGGGATCAGCTCAGCTCCGGTCATTGAGGCCATCTAGGGAGTAAACCAGTGGATAGAAGACCTCCCTCCCTCCCTCCCTCTCTCTCTCTCTCTCTGCCTCTGCGTAACTCTGCCTTTCAAATAAAATAAATTAATCTTAAAAAAAAAATTATTCCCAGATGGTCCCAAAGGGAAAAGCTAAACCTGGCTGCACAGGCTCATTCACTCTTTTTTTTTTTTTTTTTTTTTTTTTTTTTTTTTTTTTTTTTTTTTTTGACAGGCAGAGTGGACAGTGAGAGAGAGAGACAGAGAGAAAGGTCTTCCTTTGCCGTTGGTTCACCCTCCAATGGCCGCCGCGGCCGGCGCGCTGCGGCCGGCGCACCGCGCTGATCCGATGGCAGGAGCCAGGAGCCAGGTGCTTTTCCTGGTCTCCCATGGGGTGCAGGGCCCAAGCACCTGGGCCATCCTCCACTGCACTCCCTGGCCACAGCAGAGGGCTGGCCTGGAAGAGGGGCAACCGGGACAGAATCCGGCGCCCCGACCGGGACTAGAACCCGGTGTGCCGGCGCCGCTAGGCGGAGGATTAGCCTAGTGAGCCGCGGCGCCGGCTTCATTCACTCTTAACTTCACAAGTAAATGAATCAAAGTGATCAGGAAAGATCTGCTGCTGCATACACTACACAATGGAGAGATTTATATATTATCTTAGGCCCTAAAAATTTTTTTAAAGATTTATTTATTTATTTGAAAGGCAAAGTTAAAGAGAAACAGGGGGGTGGGGGTAAGTGTTCCATCTGCTTGTTTACCTCCCCAAATGGTGGCAATGACTGGGGCTGGGCCAGGCCAAAACTAGGAGCCAGGAGCTTCCTCCTGGTCTCCTATGTACTTACGAGGTCCAAAGGACTTGGGCCATCTTCCACTGACTTCCACAGGGGCATTAGAAGGGAGCTGGATCAGAAGTGGAACAGCTGGGACTTCAGCCAGCCAGTACTGTAGCTTAACCTGCTACACACAGCAATGGCTCCTAGACCTTACATTTTCAACTTGTCAGGCCAGCACTATGGCGTAGTAGGCTAAGCCTCCACCTGCGGCGCTGGCATCCCATATGGATGCCAGTTTGTATCCCGGCTACTCCTCTTCTGATCTAGCTCTCTGCCATGGTCTGGGAAAGCAGGGGAAGACGGCCCAAGTGCTTGGCTTGGGCCCCTCTACCTGTGTGGGAGACCCAGAGGAAGCTCCTGGCTCCTGGTTCCAGATCAGCTCAGCTCTGGCCATTGCAGCCATTTGGGGAGTAAACCAGCCCATGGAAGACCTTTCTTTTTCTCTCTCTCTGTACTCTGACTCTCAAATAAATTAATAAATCTTTAAAAAAACTTTTTTTCAAGTTGTGTAATATCTAATTTCCAAGGTTTCAGCTGTAGGCCAATGTACCTTTCTCTCTCTTGCAATCCTAGTCAGAAAATTTTTACCATATGGACTACCTCATTTACAAAAATTTTTAGAGTCTTTTCAGAAGTTAAAATGTAAGCAATTGGGATGCACTGATGATCAGCATTGTCACTTAAACAATATATAATTAAAACCTCAGTTACCCATAAACCAATCTTCTGATAGCTTCAAGTACTCATGTGTTAAATAAAAAGTAGGCAAATTTCCTAGGCTCTAGTTTTAAATTTTTATATATATGTACTCTCTCAATTTACTAACATAATAATTAAGCACAACTATGCAGTTATATTAAAATTTTAAGTTACTTATTGCAAAGCTAATAGTACAAATGAGTAAACTGAAGGGCATCACAGCATTAACATTTTAAAATAAGAGCAAACCTTTCTGAAAAAAACTCCTTAGAAACCACCCAGATCAACTGCTCATTTCTCAGATAAAGAAACTGTGTTCAAAATCAGTCACAGTCAGACAGCTACGGGAGTTGCAGCTTCCAAAGGCTAACAGTCTCATGATTCTTCCTCTTTAGAAAGGCAATAATCTGAAACCAGTTAAGTTGAATAACCAAAATTATAAAAGGAATCCCCCTTTTATAGCACATCAGTATTATTTCTGAGCATTATTATCTTTTTATTTTTGTAGTCATTCTTCTGAACTTGA